CCCAGGTTTGCGCTCTCAGGCCTTCGAAAACTGGGCCCAGTTTTATAGTTCTCAATTTTTTATCGCCTCTCACGAATCTCTTCGAATCAGGCGGTATCGGTTGTCGAAAGCTACTCTTGCACTGCAGCACAGCAACTAAAAAGTCTCTTAAGACCTTGGCGATAATTACTGCTGAAAATGAGGCAGATCATCGGGTTGATGGCGCAGTTTGCAGCGGCCATGAAGTAAGTAAAGAAATCGTATAGCAAAAAATCGCAAGAGTACCAAATGGAACTGTTCGGTGCAAAATGTAATATTGTTCGGTTAGTAATGAAGGGAATCCAGCAAAGAAAAAACGCAAAAACAATAACAGTGGCCATCTTAAGCACGTTTCGGTTTTTTCTTGACCGCTGTTTCTCTGCGTTGGCTGACGGTTCACCCGGATGGGCGTGTTGCTTGAGCTTGATCAGGATGATAGCATAAAGTATGGTCAACAAAACAAAGGGAGTGTAAAAAAATGCAATGAAATTTGATAGCAGGTAGTAATTCGCCGATGATTTTTGTATCGTGCACATTACCTTTCCCCCTGGGTGTTCATTCACAACAGGTTTGAGAGAAAACAAGTAAGCCGAGTTTGCGGCTATTGCGACGATCCATGTGGCGATGATGAAGAATGGACCATAACTTTTACTGATGAGTGGGGAACGGATTGGCACTACAACAGCTCCAAATCGATACACTGTTATCAGAATCAGGCTCTGAATCGACACCGTTGCAGAAACGATTAAAAGAAAAAAGCTTATCTTGCATAAGGTCTGATGAAGGGAATCACCAACAAGCCAAGAGTCAGCTTGCATCTCCACCAGGCTCAGAGGAAACAGGAATATTGTAAACAACAGGTCCGATATGGCCATGTTTACAATCATAAAATTCATCGGTTTTCTTAAAGTTGGTGTTTTGAAAACAATTAATAAGATAAGAGAATTTCCAACCAGCGAAACAACAAGTATCAAACCAGAGGCAACTGTTTGTACAAGTTTTTCTACTACCGGATTTATCAGACTATAGCAGCTCAAGGAACTTGATCCATTTGCTGTTATGTTCATGTTTGCCGCGGTTGCTCTACAGGCGTCTTCTCGTAACACTGAGGTGATTGTTAAAACAACTACTGTTCAAACAAAGCTTGTTTATGCGTACAAGACTGTTTATCGCTTCGATCTATCTACACTGCTCGCGCAATATAGGAGCAATTCATAAATATGTAAGTGATATTAATAATATTAATCATAATAAACCAAAGCAAACACCCTTTTTATTGGCATTCCAAATAACTCAGTTTGTTGAACCCGAATTCTCTTCTCCGCAGTAGAGTGCAAAATTAACCGGTCATTGCAATCTTCAGCCCTGTTGGCTATTTATAGTGTAATTTCAGTATCTATTTGGTGAAAGAAAATATCGTAGAAAAAATATTTCAATTAGTAGACAGATTTAGAACTTAATGTATGTTTTCTGGTATGAAGGCTAGAATAGTCATTAAAAAAGACTCCGAAAAATTAGGTTATTAAGGAGACGTATAATAAAAGGGATGCAACAGTTCATCCTAAATTTCGATTATGAGGAGGTCAGTGGAAGTCAATACAGCTTAATATGTATTTAATTTTACCACTTCCCACCACTCCCAGCGACTACGTCTCTTTTCGTCTCTTCTCCCGTCTGACAACAAGTAAATTTCCCCCAACTACTAACTCACAAACTGCTTTCTAATCTAAAATGTTTGCAAAAACTATTAATAGGCCCGGACAGGTGAACGCTGTATAACTACATGCAACTTTTCTTTTCTTTTTTTTTCCTATACTAATTAAATGAACTCGCCAGTGAGACATTGGACGCCCTACCAAGCAGCTGATGTTTAATTGCTTTGCCTCTGTTTGTCATTAGATGCACTGTTTAACATTTTCTTCGGTTTTTTTAAATTATATACAAAAGCCGGTCATTATAATAAGGCTATTGATATTTTTGCGACAGGTTCAGTCGTTATTATAGGGATTACGATTAAACGCCGGAACTGACACTGCAGCTTTATTTTTTCAAAGGATACCAGTTTTTTATTCGTCTATTTTACCTTTTTGGGGGAATGAAAAAAGGCAAGTAGTTTAGCGTTACGTTTCCTTGGATCTCGCATTCAACCGCTGGCTAATTAGGAGCAACAACAACAAAGAAATCTAGCTATAGCGGCATCAGAGTTCCTCAATGGAGCGTGGCTTTTCTCTGAGTAATATATTAAATGATAAGAGCCCTTTTTGAATGGGTTCTTTGTCTCATTTTGTCAACTCTTTTTCGCTTTCAGACTGTCCTTGTTCGTGTCACGTCACTAAAACGTTTAATAGCCATTGGATTATCAACTTCTCATTATAGTCAACTAGAGCAAGCTGTTGTGGTCAAATAAAATTTATATTTTGATGGAAGAAGTTTTAAACTGTTGACAAATTCAGTTTATCAACTATTAAGACCGCGTAGCCTGAGTATCGGGCGTTTCTGGGGGAAAGATGGAAGCGAAAAAGAGGGTCTCAATGGGGTGGTGGCTTTTACGGTTATCGGCTAAAATTTTGGCTCTTTTACGGCTATCGGTTAATTTTTTTCAGTTACCGTTAACGAAAAAGTTAAAAATTAACTTCTTTTGTTTCAAAAAGTTAAATATTAATTAACCTGTATTTATTTTGTACCAGTGACATCTCTGCGTGTTGTTTCACTTTCGCTATGGAAAAAATTAGTTCCCCAAGAAAGCGCTGGAAATGGAGCCCAGGTCTTGGTTAACACCTAAAAGGCGCTTCGCCTAACGTGCGTACGGAGTCACACTAGCCGGGAAATAAAAAAACGCAACCATAAGTGAGTTTAGTACCTTCCTTAAAAGCAGCAAATCTAGGGAACACTTTCTTTTACGGTTAACTCTTTTTTACGCTATTTACGCCTAACGGTTAAATTTCTTTAATTTTTACGGCTATCAGCTAAATTTTTGGCCGTTTTACGCCTATCGGTTAACCCCATTGAGACCCTCGAAAAAGGGAGAGAGCTTTCTCTTCTCCCCCTCCCCCCTCCCCCATCTAAGATCTCCTCTCACCTAGCCCCTTCGGAAGGCCTGACACTCAGGCTAAAGGCCGAGGGGAACACCTATCCATTGATAAATTTATAAGGCAAAATTTTGATTTTGCAACATCTTTTTAAACGCTTATATCTCGACTGTTTTAAAACCGATTCAGAGTTAAAAATTTTACAGAGACATTGTGGAATGATGGTTGTTTTTTCTCTTTGGTAGAGCGCCCTTTACGGCAATGCTTAAAGCCGCAGTTGCACCAAATTGGGAAATCGTGAGTTTGTGTCCAAAGTTTGCTGAAAGGATAGAACACAGCACTCCGTGATTTTATTAATAAGTGATAGGCCTATATACTAGGCCTCTAATGTGTCATGTATGGAGCAGATTTTATAATCTAAAGTTTTCCAGCAAGATATAAGCTGTGGTCACACAACAGACTTTTACCTAGGTAAAACCGATCTACATAGGGCAAATTCATCAAAAATCTCCCGACGTAGATTCATCTCGGGTTTTGTTTTACCTAAGTAAAAGTTCTGGGAAGGTCACACTACTGATATCGGCTCCCAAAGTTTTCACGCAAGCTGAATTTTTTGGAGCGTAAATTCAAGAAGGCAAAATGCGCGGGGATCTAGCTGATCAAAGAGACGTTTTTTTCTTTTATCTCGCCGTTATTTCTTACGCTAATTCAACGTGTAAGGTGAAGAAAGGCGAAGACGTAGACAACTCGTGCCCCCAAAATTTCTTTCACAGCGTGATCTATGTCCGGTTCTGTCATCAATACCTTCGCCGATGAGCGTCTATTGGCTAGCAACCTCGGTATTTCATTTTTCCCTAGCTATTGCTTTGGGGTAGCTGTCAAGGGAAACTCTATTGTTTTCGAGACATATCCAAGACCCAGACGATAAAATTTCCCCGAGGTAAGTTACCTAGGGAAAAATCGGTCACACTTAAAAAATCAAGTTTCCCTAGGTAAACTGTCAACAAGTCGTGTTTACCTAGGTAAAAAGTCTGTAGTGTGACTACAGCTATAATCGTTTAAATGAGCAAAATCTGTCATCCCTGAATCTTTTTATGAAGCACTCTTAGATACATGACACACTACAGTCTACCAAGTTTACCCCTCTGCAGGGCCAGCTCACGAAGTTTTGTATCTGCTCTGAACTCTTGGACACAAAATTGTCGGAAAAAAAATTGGGGGACTCCCGAAGGTGTCCCGACTAAAGCACGAGTTCTAAGCAAGATGAGTAATTATGGTTAATTACATTCAACGATTTAATTCTGTTGATAAGCTGCAATGTTTTCAAGGATTTTTGAGGCGATTTTTGAGTTTTGGTATTAAAGTTCTTTGAAACTTTCGTCTTAAGCACCTTATTTTTATTGATTAAAAAATCTCTGAAACAAGGTTTACTACCATTCACACAGCACGCCGAGAAAAAGAAATTTAAGTGAGCTTAATGGTGGTGTAAAGCTGGCGTAAAGTTCTCAGTTACGTAACTTTACGACCCATTTACGCCACGTAAAGTCGAACTTTACGCTACCTTTACGCACATGCGTAAAGGTATCGTAAAGAGACACTTTAAGCTCTGCGTAAAGTTGGTGTAAATGCGCTTTAAAGTAGAGACTTAAACCAGCGTAATTGAAATGTAAAGTTGGTGTAAAGATGTTATTTAGACTCCTTTTACGCGTTAAGCGGACATGCCGTCAATATTTAACGCTCTAATTCTTATCTATTTAAAGACGCCTATTGACACTATTAATATTGACCAAAAATTGTTAACTCAAAATCGATCAAAATTATGTCGTCTAGTTGACCTCCTATCCATCCTCCAGGAGGCCAACAAAGTAGTATCAACGGCCATGTACACGCTCAATTTACTGTCGGTGTTCTCAATGGTTCTCTAATTGGTCATTGCTTTTTTTATTATACATAAATAATTTGCTAAAATCTCTAAAAAGAACGACACCGCTAACGCTTGTTCCAGTCCTCTAGTTCTGACGATTCTTTAATGGAATTGGGTTTCCGGTTAACCGAGAAACAAAAGGTAGTTACCATGTTCAAAACGCTAAATAAGCAAAAGCGCTCCCTACATGCAAGATATGTTCTCTGCTGATGACATTTGTTCCAACATCCGTCGCTCTTAGAATACCCAGTACCTAAATCAAGGGGTAACTATTCTTAAGAGCAATTATGGGTATTCAGGGGCTGTCCTTTCGAATGGACTGCCATCAGAACTACACAAGTTATTAACCCTTACAATTAAGGTATAAAAAGAGAATTTTAAAATGACCAATATTCACACGAAAAACACTTAAACCAGTATATTAGATCTTATTACCTTTTTATACTAATGTTTTTGAACGTGTCTAAAAAAAGACTAGTGTCTATGTCAGGTGTGACTAAATTGTGCGGAGTCACCTGAAGGTATCCGCGCGCCAGTGTTGAATACTGCTTTTCGTCCTTACTAAATATTTATTCTGATTCTTTTCTTTCATATTAGAAGCAGAATTGAATAAAAAACTCGCTGCAAGAATGCCGTACATCAGTTGTATCTCTCGTAGGGTGGATACCATGACTACGCCTCTGCTTAGGACCAGCGTTCTTTGGGAAACTTTTCTTGACATAAATCATTGTAACAGTCTACCAAGGAACCCTTAATAGCAATACAGTTTTGCATAATTTTGATGATAATCTTTGACCCATTTTTCTTTACTTTTTTGATTTACTAAGAAAGCAAAAGCCGTTTTGCAATAAATAAAGAATAAATGGTGCTAATAAAAAAATACCGGCAGCTTCATTTTGTGGCGATTTCCTAAAAATCAGTAATCGAAAGAAGAAAAAGAATTAAAAAAAGAAAGAAAAGAAAAGAACCATAAAAATCAAATTTATTTTTTGCGAGCAAAACACAAGGTATTATGAATAGTTAATAAAGGCATTTATTCGTTGCCATAGAAATGTTTAATCAATGTGCTGTTTAAGTCATATATATGGCTAAATCTGTTTGAAAATAACTCCAAAACTATTGAAATAAAGCAATTAACTCGTAATGAGAATAAGCAACTATAATTTAAATAATACGAGAAATTCGTCCTCGTGTTTTTTAACTGGTACCAGTTAAAATTTATAATGGTCCACGCGGACGATAAAGGTCGATTTCGGTATCTCGGAATTTTGATATTTACATACATAAACATATGAAACAACGCTACAGTGTTTTTCGAATCGTATTTGTGAATGGCGAAACTGAGCTATCTTTTTGCAAAGGTGTCTGTTTTACTTGTGGTCGTTTGTTACACAACTAGCGCAGCGTCTAGAGAAGGATCTGGGCCATGCATTGTAAGAAGAACAAAATTGCCGCGTTTAGATCCCGTCAAGGTAAGCTATACACATGTACTCTTAAAAACCCAACGTTTTCATCTCTTGGTCAGAGATTGTCATCTTTTATTAGAGTTAACGATTAAATCACATTGTAGGTTGGTTATCTTCGGGAAATCGAGCTCTTGAGAGAGGAGAAACCTTTCACCGTGAAAACATTAAGTGTGAGACCTCCTATATTCGGTAAGTTTGCTATCGAGTAGTCTTCGCTATCGTGATGATTCCGTCGAATTCTAATTGTAAATAAATGGTTCAGGAGATAAATAATAAGATCCCCTCAAAGTCCCTTGTAGTCGATGTAAAACCTGGCCGTGCCGGGATACACGAATTGCCATAGACCTCAAAAATTGACTAGTCAGGAATTGTCAGTAATTAAAGCTCTTTTAACTGTCTAATACCTACGACATTTCCATATACTGATAATAGACGGTGAAATAACAACATAGATCGCCGTCTAGATCCCACAAGAGATTATAAAACTTAGGACGAGTTTTAATCAATTAGCAATAAGTCGAAGTAAGAAAAGGAAACTGTAACTAGAAATCCAGCAATGACTTTTGGGATAGAAATGTAACCTAGCCCTATAATTCTTGTCAGTTAAAGGTGGCTCCGTTATTGATACAAACGTTTTGAGCTATAGCGAAATTTTGCCATAACGTTTTCGGTTTTAACGCGGTGGCAACAAAACTTGTGATGAACTAAAGCTATCATTCAGCAATAAGCGAAAATAATCCGACTTTACTGCTGTTGATAAATTTTTTTTATGAAATCAGCCCTTAATTGGACCCCATGTTTTGAAGAAAATTGCATTGAGTGAAACATTTTGCTGATATTTTGGCCTGAAATTTCTGGTGTCAGCTTTTATTTATGTAACAAGTATGTCAAAGAAATTTCAGAGCAATCGTTGAAGCAGAAGTCCGTAACCAAAAAGTCCTTCAAAATTCAGCTGTGAAACTGTTTTGGAATTTCGACAACGAAAAGCTTTGAGGTAGTACGAGCCCGAAATTCGAATTTTCGGGATACGTAATTCCAGCAGTGCCTGGCAATTCTTAAAACAAAGCCGATCAACAATAGTGACATTCATTAACAAGTGCTCTTCTCTTTTGCAAACACTACAAATTCCTCCTCTGAACATGAGTGATTTATTCTTCGACATTTTTGAAATAGTCTTCTGGATTACTTTTTGTAGTTCAATCTCCTGCTACATACATGTATTTGAATGTATTACAATGTTTTAAAAGTCATTCGACCTTAGAGAGACAGATTTGGAGCTATTCATAGTGCTTCTAAAACTGAGGAGTACCTCTCAAAGAATTGCACTATTGGTAATCGGCTTTGTTTTAAGAATTAGCAGGCATTGGAATTACTTATTAAAATTGCCTCGAAAATTTGAATTGACGGCTCGTTCTACCTCAGAGCAATGCGTTGTCAAAATTCAAAAACAATTTCACATCTGAATTTTGAAGGACGTTTCAGTTACGGGCTTCTGCTCCAGCGATTTCTCTGAAATTTCTTTGGCATGCTTATTACATCAATAAAAGCTGATACCAAAAAATTATCAGCAAAAAAAAATATCAGCTATATTTTTCACCAGATGCGATTTTCTTCGAAACGTAGGGTCCAATTAAACGCCGATTTCATAAGAAATATTTACCATTAGTAAAATAAAATTATTTCAGTCCCATTAGCTGTAGTTCATAGTAGCTATCGCGTTTAAGATCGAAAAAGTTATTTCGAAGAGTTTGTTAATGCACAGAAAATTAACGTGTTCAGTTTTCCCGAGTGTTAAAGCGATGTTGGCGAAGGGCAAGTTCGTTAAAAAATAAAAATAATATTTTTTTATCGTTCTTTCTAGTTTGACGTCTAGTTATACAAAAAAGGGCATACTTCACAAATAAATCAAAGAGCCCTCATAAAAGGCCTGAAATAAAGATTAGAAGGATGATTGAATGTACTTTACAAGTCTATTTTCAGCAGGGTAGTGGGCAGTGGTTGATAATAGCTGTATGTTTTACATACAGTTCCCTTCCACATTCATTCATTCTACTTTCATTCTCCCTATATTAATTCTTCTTACTTCTTGAAAACTAAATTTTTTCCGCAGAAATTCCTAATTTCTTGAGTGAAGACGAGTCCAGACGTCTTCTTTACTTTGCGGAACACGGAAACATCGAAACCAGTGAAGTTTATCACCATTCCATGGACGAGCTGCTCTCTCAGACCTCCTTTGAACAATGGGATCTGAACAGAGACAACGTTATCGATTCTGATGAGGTATAAGTTCTACCTAGAACAGTACAGAATGACATTTTTTTGCAAACAGTTTCCTGTTTGTTGCTGTTCCTGTTTAGAAAGTTATTTCCGCCAGACGATGTCGCGAGGAGAAACTTCTCGATAATACTGAGATTAAATTTTATAAAACAACTTACTATAGATAGTACGCGCGCTCTCATTGACCGAGAGGCGTGTTTGCATGAGGGTATGTATGGTTGTGACGTCAAGATGTTTAGCTTTTGGCGCGCTAATCACGCAATAAAAGCAATAGAAAACGTTTTTCCTGTATTTGCGCGCATAGCCTGATATAAACATGAGAGGGGTTGGGAGAATTCGAGAATTCTCGAAAGAATTCTAGACAGTTGTGCAAATGAGCAATGAGAATTCTCGAACATAACTGACTGTAATTCTCCCAACCCCTCTCGTGTTTATATCAGGCTTTGCAAACACGGAGAACGTTTTCTATTGCTTATCCAAACCGCCAAATCCTTTTTCTCAGCAAAAAATTAAGTGATTTCAGTTTATCGGAGGGATGATTTTGCATTTTCTCACTGGCATTTTTTTTTTTTGCTGGTAGATGTGAAAATGTACACTAAAACGTTGAGGAGAACGTTTTATGGCGCTTTGTTGAACCTCCCCTTATTACCCTTGCACTGATGTTTATCTGGAGAAAAAAAAAACATCAGTCTCATGTTCCAAAAAATGTCCAAATATCATTGTTTCAGCACCGAGGCCTGCAATAGCTCAACTCGGAAAAAAAAGCAAATATTTTAGAAACTGTGCCCCATGCTGAACAAAAGAAAGAAAACACTTTCACTCTAAGAGGTCAGCGTTTGTCGGCGGTATACATATGTAAGCTGCTAGTTATTAGCGACCAACAATCACAGGGCGCGTACTGGTGTCGTATACATCACAATGTATAAAAAATGCGAAGCTAAATATATCTCGTAAGTAAGTTTGGTTAGAAAGTGTTTCAACCGGTCTAAAACACTACTGTGTTCAAAATGTCAGTTGCCACTTGGTAATTTACGCCCCTCCTCACTAGGCATCAGATCCACGTATCCATATTTCTTACGTCATTCCTTATTACAGGTCATTTCGGGCATGCGCTACATTCGCGACTTACATTTCACATTGAACGACGTCAAGAAAATGTGAGTAGAGCTTCATTATTTGCCCCGTCATATGTTTAAGTGTGGTCTCATGGAGCTAACAAAAAGTCAGAACTGGCCAGACGGACAGGTTGTTTTAAACTAAACGAAAGAAAAAAGACTGTTTCGTAAGTCTTCGCTAAAACTCATCTTTGCCCTGCATACTATTTAGAAAAAGAGAGATCTACCTGCAGTGGATAGGTCAGACTAGTAGGGAATTCTTTTTACGCAACAGTGCAGGACTGGTCTGGCCTGCCAGACCTGACTTATTTTAGTCGCCCTTAGACTAAGTGCCAGCATGGCCTTTGGTGCCGGTTAAAACTAAGTTGTGAACTGCATTCTGTGCACTACATGCACACCTCATCACCCTGTCTGGTTTCTCCAAAGTTACGTACGTCTTATTATGTTGTGCTATTTATTATCTCTCCAATCCTCGGGGCCTATCCTCGACTTGACGAGGGGAAATTTACGTCACGGTATCTCCTCCTTTCGAGGGAGATATGACTGACAGTTTTTATACTGTGTGTCCTAAAAAGTACGATCGAAACTACGCGAAAGACAATTTTGAGGTGGCAAACTCAAACTTCTAGAGACTTCGAAACCAGACAATTCAGGGAGGATGGAAATAGGCTAACCATGTATCCAATGGCATTGAGGAAGTGGATCTTCTGTGGCTTAGTTGAAATACTTAGTTCCTAGCTTACCTATCCCCTGACCCCTCTCTAACCTTCGAAATATAGTCGACTCCGGATAAGTTGAACCTTCAAGGAAAATCGAAAAAAATTCGAGTTAGCGGAAGATCGAGTTATCGGGAGATCGAAGCAAATAACTAGAAATAAAGAAACGGGATGTGGGAGGAATGCAAGTATCATGCACACTTCACTTCAAGAGCAACAAGATATATATTGTTATTTTGGAAAAAGAATTTTAAAAACAGCTTGATTAATCAGCACATGGATAAACATTCTATTCAATTGGACTGACAAAAAAGTAAAGACAAGGAATACACGGTTGTTTTGAAATAAATTCATTGTTTTGAACTGCAGCTCACTGCATTGTTCGAGTTTTCAAGGGTAAAATTGTCTAGAAATGATCTGAAGGGAAACGAAAATTACGTCGAGTTAGCGGGAGATTCGTGTTACCGAGGGTAAACTTACAGTAAATGTATGAAGGAAATCCAGGGGAAATCGATTTTGGTTCGAGTTAGCGAGCGTTCGAGTTACCGGGAGTCGACTTTAGTTCTTACTTAGCCTAGGTTTACTAGAATTACACCTTGGACCAATATAAATTTCAGGTTAACATCAATAAATGCTGGAAAGCGCATACCAGGTTAGTCATAATTTAGGTAAAAACAGTTAGACCGCTAGCTGGAAGCTATAGTGTGCTTCTCTTAGAAAGGTCCGACAAATTTCCCGTCAAGGCCGGATACAAAGAGTGCACGATCTTCGCTTATTAAAAGAGGCTCCCATTTGAAGGTATCATGTTTAGAAGTCATATTTTACTACGGCAATCTACTCGAGTAGTCAAAATGGTTTTATTTAAGAACCTGTAGCTGAACAGTTTCATGAGCTTTGCGCAAGCCCCCGCCCCACTTGACAAAAAAAACAACAACCCATGTTTCGGTGTTTATATATAACTCAAGGCAGGGGCACCCAACGACGGTTTCTTCCTAAATACATTGAAGACACTTTTAGGCTAGAATCCAGGGTACTTTTAGATCTCTAGAAATGCATTCTAAGCAGCGTTTTAAATTTTGTACCTGTTTGGTCATCCTAGGCGAACTTGAGTCTTTTCGAAATTACTTTACAAGGGTTTCAGAATTCTTCTCCCGAAAATTTTAGATGCAATTTAACGTTTTAGGAAAAAGAGAATTTTTCTTATTCCTTTTCATATTAAATTTTTTAATCCGGAAATTTTAGGTTTCCTTTTTCTAAGAAAATTAGCCTAATATGGGGATTAAAATGTGAAAAATCGTAGTGAATTTATTAGATGAGCTGAGAAAATTCTACCTGAATGGAATAGCCATCTAGAATAAGCCGTCCTCAAGCAATAGAAAATTCTAGGCAATATTTGCTTCCCCGAACAGATCTTTACAAACACAGTCGTCGGGTGCCCCTGTCAAGGTAGACGGAGAGTGCAACATTTGTTTAGTCGATTACACAATTAATCTGATGTTTCGCGAAAAATGTAATATGATGGGCCCCTTAAACATGCATTGCAATATGGTACATTACGAAAGCAAAACTGGTTTAGAATTGACAGCACTATACAATTGTCGGCACTCCTCTCTGTCAACATTCTCAACTGAAGTTGCAAAAAGTATTGAGCAGAATCAGGTAGCTTTTGCATTCTCTTGACTTTTTCAGGTACTATTCGTCGTAGCGAGTTTAGGCCTTCAGAGATCTTGCATTACGTAGAGAAAATACGCCTGGAAACACAAGTCAAGGGTCGTCATAGCAACCAAACTTTCATCGAACTTCACCCTGATGACAATTTAGCTGTGCGGCTCGATAAAAAGTGAGTTTGGGTTATATTATTAGCAGTACACAAGCTTCATATAGTCAGATATGTAAGTGTCCGCTAGCCCTAATCCAAGGCTAAAAGCACGCAATTTTGTCTAACCGATGCAACAATGAAATAAAAATGACAAATAATTGTGTCTAATATGAAGTGGGGATGGTACAATGAACGACTGGCGATCAGTCAGATCTTTTCCGGCATAAAATTACTTTGCTTGTTAACTATATACATAAATATAAAGCTAAAAGAAGATACTTAAAGATTGTTCTTTTCTGTTGTTTCAGAAAAGCTGCTCTCACGGGACTTCCAATAGAAATAATAAGAGGCAGTGAAACACCCGTGGTATGTAAGGCTCCTTTCATGGTGTAGAGTTTGTACCACCACATGGTGAGCTCAGCTGGAAGACCACCGGTCTTCTGAGCGGGAGGTCACGGGTTCAAACTACGGCCGGGCAAACACTCAGGGTCTTTAAATAACTGAGAAGAAAGTGCTGCCTTTGTAATGACATCTGCAAATGGTTAGACTTTCTAAAAGAACCCACGCCACTGTTCGAAAAGAGCAAGGGACGTAGACCCCGGTGGTGTGGCCAACCTTTACGGGTTGTGGGATTGGGTCGGGATGGCACCTTGCATGGGACCTATGAGTCCCGTTCGTGCCTTTTCCCTCTGGGCAGGCCTGTGTTCAGCAAGCTGTCAAAAAAAAGATCAACCAGTTTCGACCATTCCACACTGAAAGTTAAAAACATCTGTTGCAGCCCCAAAGTTTCAATTCAGCACTGCAGGCAAAAGTCTGATTCAACCCCGTCTGGAGCCATTTGAGCACAATTGAGGCCAAAACAGCTCAATCAAAAGACTATTTCAGCCCACGCTGGGGCCCATTTCTGCCCTTGGGTCCAAATCAGCCCAAGGTAATTGGACTGTATTGGCCCTGATTTAAGGAAGCCAAATTAGACTCATACATAGGACTGTGTTTTACTCACCGAAACGACCCCATTTTTAGGGCTAAAACAGATCTTTCTGATTTACAGTGCAGATATCTATGAAGTATTAAAACAAAAATGCACAGTATAGGTTATCCCCCACCCCCCTCCCCTTCCAACATTATTAAACGTCAAAACGCTCTTGCTCCAACGCAGTCTTTTGATCAGATTTAGTCTGAGAAAACAGCCGCCATTTCACGACACCATCAATGGTTTTCTCGGGAAATGATGTCTGAGGAACGACTGCAGAGAGTCTACACTGATGACGCGTCACTACCCAGAGATCTGTGTAGTGCTCCTCGTTGGTTAAGGTAAATTTCCCTCGCGGCTCGACCCGTGTGCTCAGATCATGTTCTAAGCATTCCATTCACTCCATTCATTCTGCGTGCCACGCATGTGTAATAACAGCCAAGAGATTAGGATCGCGCGCTTCTCTGGTCGCCTGCAAATCATATTTTCTCTTGATATTGGTACCTGAATACTGGATTTAAGCTACCTTGCCTACGCGTTATCATGACTTTGTATCTATTTATTGGACTGACACCATATTCGATGATAAAGAAAAAAGTAGGACTATGCAACTGCGTTGAAGGGGTACCTTAATATCTCTCTGGCTTCTTTGGATTCGGCATGGAAATAATTTTACCTTCAACTTTATTTCAGTTTCCTAAAACAAAAAAGAGCGAGGCCAATATGCAGGCACTTAGACTGATGGCTAAGAGAACTTCATGAGAGATCAAACAGGCAAACCTTGAAGGGGGAAGAAAGTACCAGCTTGCTCGCCGTAATCAGCCGGCGAGTAATAACTGGGATTACTGACAAAGTTTCAATAACACCAACCAAGAAAGAGAAATATAGCCAGGAAGCTGGGAATATTATTGAGCTAAGTCAATACACACCAAAGACCCAGCTGATTTTTTTGCATATTAAGACGTTTTCTTTTTGTATTATTGTAGGCTGTGCGATATGGCCCGGGCGGTCATTACCACTGCCATTATGACTCACACACACTCTACGCTGGGAACTCTTGCTGCGATCGACTCGCCTTGGATAATTGTCGTATTTGCAGGTTAGCCGTGCACCATGTTAAGCACTTCATGTACATAATTTTCCATGTAAAAAAATCGTTGCTGCTCTAAAATTCGTTTACTTTCTCGAGCTTATGTAAAACTGGAGTCAAAGTATTTAATTTGAGTCTAGGTATGTCTTACGTCATGTCATGTTATGTCATCTAGTTAACAATACCTAAATGAGGCTAAGTATACTGACATGAAGCATTATGCAGGTCAAGGAGGGTGTCTGATCGGCCGTGGTGGATAACAACCTCCGAAATCTACATAATAGAGACACTTAGATTCTATATAAGACGAGGAAGACTACGAGTACGAGATTTTCTCCATACAGGCTGTCCATACTGAGTATCGCTCACGCGTGAAGCAGCGTCAGCGTCAGCGCCAACTGGTTATGAGAATTAGCCAGGGAATTAATGCGAATAAGAAAAGGCGAAATATTTTCAATGTTATGTAGTGTGCATTTACCTGAATGTGTACTACAGTACCTGAAATTAGCTGGTAATTTGCTGCACAGTATTCGTGATTATCTCGGTGACGTGACAGCTCATGGTAGAGTCCAGGGATGACCGAGCCGAAAACGCCTGGGGACTAGGCTGCGTGATTATGAATACATTGTTTCCTCTAGGCGTCTCGGCGAAGGACTATTTTGTTAACTACTTAAACGGCTTTCATAATTCAAGTCTTCAGTTGTCATTGTAGTCATACTATTTCTAGTGTATGAAATTAACTCTTTTACTCTTATTTCGTTAGGTATATAACTATTTTGTACTTTCTCAATAATGTCGAAGAAGGTGGCCAAACTGCTTTCCCCGTTGCTGACAATGAAACGTTTAATCATGAGGTTTGTATAATTGATCGTTCATACATACATACAAACAAAATCTTGAGGCAACACGGTAATGCTCTGTGTTCTGCGCATGTTCTGATACTGTACAGACGTGTTGTTTGTGCTCTGCGCTAGGAGTGAAATTCTGATGACTTATAATGACTCGAAAGTCAAATTCTATTGTCATTTATATAGATAAGTCTTCCTTTTCTTTTCTTTCTTGATGTTTTCCTCTACTCGCATCGATTAGCCAAAAATCAAGCTATATGGGAGCAGAGGATGTTTGTATGTACATGTATGTTTGAATTTAATTTAATATGTTCCTCCGTTATATGGACGTTAATAAACTTTAATNGATTTTTTACGAAGTTCTAGATATTTTTCCTCGATTGTCATATTGATTAACTTTTATCATGTTGAATGTGGGGATGGAAGACAACCTAGAATTTTGGTAGAAAATTTTTGAATTCCGAGGACCAAAACACGTACGTTTTCCACTCCCGGGTTTCTCACAGAGCCGTGTTATTACTTTTTTTTCGCATTAGTACGAGCCTTTGCCCTTTTTCTTTTCAAGGCCAAAACAACTTTATTAGTCTTATGGACATTCACGTCCAACATCTCGCCTCACTTTGCCGAATTTGTGGGGATGAAATTTAAGATCATAAGCGCAAGGTAGATACTAACCGCTTTGTTTCTGAAATTCACTAATCTGGAAAGATTTAATGTTGTTGGATTCTCCAAATGTTCACCCACCGTTAAAGAACAAACAAAGAAACAAGGCAAATCTCAATTGTAAATGATGTATTTCGCTACTCATGGAACATGCACTGATTATCTGCGATAAGATTAAAACATTGCAGGTACTACAAGAAGCAAAGAAAGCCCCAGATGCGTGAAGTCAACACGAAACAACACAAAAAAACAAGCAAGAAAAATTAATAAATTTGAATTACTTTCTATTCTTGTTATGATGACTGGTTCTTTGATTCTTGTCCTGTAGAAGTTAAAAGGTAGTACCAATCCTGTTTTGTACGATCTCAACAAATTTTCATACTCTCTCTAAGGCTATTTTTACACGGGACCAGTTTGCTTCTATCAAAAATCTTGCAAGCCATGCCAGTGAAGCCACGACCTCTGCAATCGGTCCGGAATCAGTTCGAACACCCCAATGATTCCTTGCAATGATTAATGCTCTTATTCTCTTACATGAAATGTTTTCTTTGAAATATTAAATGTGAAACCTAGACGAGTACTGTAAGCTCATCTTTAATTCTGTCCGACTCCGTCCGTTGTTTTGAAAATTTTTGATCACTGGGGCGATGTTTTGATTTGTTTGTTGATAAACACAAGCCCGCCTTCTCATTGGTTGAAAAGTGTCGCGTGACCAGTTGGCCCTGTCCTTAAATTTAGGGATATTCCGGACTGATAATGACTCGAAAGTCAAATTCTATTGTCATTTATATAGATAAGTCTTCCTTTTCTTTTCTTTCTTGATGTTTTCCTCTACTCGCATCGATTAGCCAAAAATCAAGCTATATGGGAGCAGAGGATGTTTGTATGTACATGTATGTTTGAATTTAATTTAATATGTTCCTCCGTTATATGGACGTTAATAAACTTTAATTCAATTCAATAAACATAAACTGTCTTCTGCGCGAATGCTGAAAACACTCATCGCCTCATGGAAGGGAATCCAAGACAGTCTTGAATTCTGGATTCCACGCCGTGGATTCCGGATTCCATGTACTGTATCCCAGTATTTGTCGGTGAAACTTGGATTCTGGATTCCAATCGTTAATGGGATTTCGGATTCTTTAAACTGTATTCCGGATTCCAAGGACCAGGATTCCTGGAATTCCTCAAGCAAAATTTTCCCAGATTTCTTAATTCGGATTCTCTTACATAGTACCCCAGAGTATCCTTTACCGTTATAGACTTTCCGTGTTGTTTTATAACTTTTCTAATGACAATGAAAACAATTGATTCTCCTCATCGCAACAGATAGACGAAGGTCACTAGCTGAGACCCATGAATCTAAACAAATCAAAACGACACGGCATTGTTCAATGAAACACAAATTTCAGACGGGACCGAGGCTTTCAAGCATTAACGTTTAGGGGAAAATTCTGCTTACTTATCGCTAGCGCCGTGGACTGGGAACAAGATTTTTTTAAACATATGGTTAAGTGAGACCGGACCGACCAGTAATTAGGACCACCTTGACAGATCATCTACTTTGTCTGTAAATTTCACGCAGACCGATGCGTTCGACTTCCGTTGATGCTTTGCAATAAATTTGCAGAAATCAAATTTAGCATAATGGAAAGCACCTAACTAACCTGCTGATTATCTTGAAATACATCTTTGCACGAGCACTTTTGCACGGAAAGCCTAAGGGTTCAGCTTTTCACAATATATCCTTTTTATATCACAAGTCTATTTTCAGTCGACAGTGAATCGATTGTATTATATGACACACTTAAGTGTCCTTGTTGATTGCCATTGCCTAAGTTGTTCAAAAGGTGGATAGCGCTTTCCACTCAGTGATTAATCTCTATCAAGTGGATGACGCCATTGGCTTTCCTTCTACTTATCTGAGGTAATCCGGTGGATAACACTATCCATCTTTTAAACAACTGGGGCCTGATGGAGGACAATTATTTTTGCACCCAGCACCGCTTACACACCTAATAGAAACTCAATAGAAAGTAGCTGCCCTTCTTTGTCACCACGTGACCTGAAAGATCACCTCTTCTTATGGAGATTTTAAGTACTATTATTACTTCCCCCCCCCGCCCTTGCCAGGAGGTTCCTTTTTGCAATTCGGTTGCGATCAAAGGAGCACAAAAAGTGAGTGACTAGTGATTAAGTGATTAAGGGCGAGAGACCACGGGAGAGGGGAAGAAAAAGGAACAGCTTTCTCCTTCCCGCCGTCCTTTGCGCGCAATTTCAGACACGTAGCTATAGAGTCGCCTCGAAACGAGTTAGTTATCATTAGACATCATATAACTCTATCTCATTCGATGACGTCGTTCTGCGGCAGAAGAAAATGCTTTTGAAGCCTTCCTTAAAATTCGAACTACGAAAAGCGTATAAAATTGGATTGAGACACAGACTAGCGTTGAAAATACAAATAAACAAAGACGATAAGACGGAGTATAGAAAAAAGTCTGTTTGCTTGTCATACCCTGCTGCTAGAATCGTGTAAAAAATTGCAAAAGGTCCATATCCGATGCAAAACCCAGCAGAAACTAGAAGAAATGTAACAACAAGTTTGCTCTTCTCCTCGTCCCTTTCTCCAGATGTAGTTTCCGAGCAGATTGTGTTGCTAAAATACAGACCATTTATCAACGATCCATAAAAGTAAACCATTGCTGTTATTGGAATATACGTTACAAATACAGCAACTATGAAAACGTAAACTTTAACAGTTTGATTCATGTGTAAGCTCCATGGGCCCACGCATGTGGAGAGCGACTGGCTCCATTCCTGAAAAACGAAGAATGGCAAACAAAAAAGAGTACCAATGATCCAAATAAACGCGACAACCTTTGTGATATTCTCATCATTTAGCTGCCATCCTGTCCTGAACGGCTTCACCAAAGCGTGGTATCTTTTTGCTTCTAGTACCGTTAGAGTAAATGATGAAACAGCAATGGAGATGTCAGTTAGAGGTATAATCTTGCAAGAGATCCTTCCAAATCCTTCACTTAGATACCCATTTTGATGGGAGAAAAAGAAGAGAGGTGCCATAAAAATGGTGATAATATCACTTAAAGCCAGGTTTACTAATAGATAATTAGTTTTCGTGTGCATCGTTCGTTTTTTGTGGACAATACGGATAACCAACACGTTTCCGATGAATCCCGCGAGAAAAGTTGGAATCGTGGCGAAAAAAAAAATCTGTTCTAATTCATTTTTTCCCATCATAATCGTCTTTGCAATGCTTGCGTTAATTGACATCTCAAAGTTGTCAGCAACTGTCAATGTTTTAATAGTTGCTCAATACCTACCTTATATATCAGCCAGGCCGTTTTGCCATATTTGCATTATCAATAGGACATTTCAATTATTTAAGGTGAAAACCTTGTTAGTACTGTAGACTGTTCCGGTTAATGTTATTTGCGCTTGCATACAAAGGACGTTTGTTTAATTTGACGATGTTTGCTGACGCTTTAATCACTTGGAGTTTTAATAATTTTCTCTGGACCGTCGTTGACTTTGCCAGCAATGATTTTTAAACACTAAAAATTTGTTATCCTTTTGATCAGAAGGTGCCACGTACGATATCAACTTTCTTGACAACTTCTTTCGCGAAACAAAAAATTGGAAGGGCAAGAGCTAGCCAATTTAGCTTTGATATCTCACTCATTCAGTCTTAAGGTAAAAAATGACTGCATAACTGAGTGTTACCACTGAAAGCGCGACAAAAGCTTTCAAAACTTTGAGCATCTGCTTCGCCTATCTGATAATTACTCAGAACGACAGATGTTGTTTTGCAGGCTGGAAACTAGAAAACGGGGAAAAGCAAATGGCAATTAAGAGGAAATGACTACGACGCTCATAGTCAATTATCAATTTTCCGTCAGGAAAAGCACGCTACTGGACTGAACTTGGAAAACGCAGACTGCGCCTTCCAATCCAGCCGTCATCCTTTTCTGGAGACCAACATGGCAGCCCTTCAAAGGATATGGTTTTTTGTTTAATACTTTTGCCGAATGATGCCATGACGAGTCACTTTCGAGCTTTCGCTACACCAATGTCGAATTTATACCGTTTCCAAAACATAGGCGCCTTTTCATCGCCAGAGGATCGTAAAGTTTCCGCCAGCTTGGTCAGTGATGCCACGAATGCTCGTATCAAACGTCATGGCCAAGCTATCTAACTACTGGTTACCTTCAACTTCTATTTTTATTATTTCATCGTTTAGCAGCTCCAACAAAGAAAATTCTAAAACCCTTGCGCCCAAACCTGATTTCGCCTATTGGTCAATTTGAGGTCTCGAGTGAGGGGAACTGGGCAAAATTGCGTCGAACTGCACTGTGGGAATGTTTGGGGACGAAATTTGCCCCAGCTTCCTCTATAACCTTGTAATGGCTAAAAGAGAAGGAACGATAGCGGCCCCAAAACAGTCCTATAGTGCAACTCGGTCTAATAACGACCCAGTCTAAACCGTCAACTCAAAATGATCAGGCGCGTGAGCATCAAAAATGTGGTTGTTCCAAAACTTTCTTAGCGGAGCTCCAGTGAGGGTAGCGTAGGTGGACGACTGCCATATTCCAAGCCTAGTCTACCGTGATCAAACTTCGTGCTTTTTTTGGATGCTCATATAAGACTATTACCTCGATGTAAGATTTGTTTCACTTTTGGACTGTTTGCAATTTGACCAATTTATTTTTTTCTCTAAAATCATTTAGCTCTTCCCTAAAAAGTAAAGTTAACTACTTTGTGGATTACAAGTTTATTGTGTGATATAAATCATAAAGTTATTAACGGGAGCTTCGCTTTTAGCCCTGGCTAAATCTATATATTATCAACATCTCCTTTACTACAGTCCTTCCACCCCTACACGAGTTTTACCAACCTTAGCAATGCGTAGGGGATCCTTTATTTGACATTTGTTGAACTCTTTGCTGATCATCAAGCCAAACCTGCATGTACATGGCAAGTTGAGCGTGCTGAAATGACGTACGGTGCTCTTAAACCTTATACAGTTAACTCTTTATTAACGGCCAGCTCTATAAGACTATAAGAAGACGGTCTCTCCTTCTTTTTAGTTTTTTTTTCACGGATCCGAGTAAATCATAATTTGTTGTAAATTATTGTAATTTGCTTACCATGAAGCACTCAGGCCGGGTTCATAAAAAAACGCTTAAACATGTCCATGCGTTCCAGATCGAACTGGAATTTGGAAGTGGTGGTTTTTGAGGAAAGGGGAAAACCAGAGTGACTGGAGAAAAACCTCTCGGAGCAAGGGAGAGAACCAACAACAAACTGAAACCATATACGGCGTTTATTGTGTTTTTTCTTTAACATTATTCCAATCAGAAGTGATTGACTTTCAAGCTGTTTCTTTATTTTGCAGATGTGGACACAGAAATCCAATTATCTCTCAAACCTGAGCGCTTACTGTTTCAGAGCAAACCTAAGAGTAACACCGAAACGCGGTACCGCGATAATGTGGTATAATCACATCATCAACCAATCAACTGGCTGGATGTCCAGCCTCGACTCGCTATCGTACCACGGTGGATGTGACGTCATCAAGGGCCATAAGTGGATTGTAAATAACTGGATAGATATTATTGGAGATAACTGGGACGACTTAAGGACTTGGAGCGGTATACATTACAGAATAGATGACATGGAGCAAGAATAAAAATAGCACAGCTAATATTAGCACTATTATTATACACTCTGCCAACTATCTGCCTTCTCTTTGGCCTACGGTTAATCTTGGAAAACATCCCAACCTAATCTCGTTCCCAGATCTCTTGTTGACGAAGCCTTCTAGAAACGAGATTACATTGCAATCTACAGATTAGTTATCTGCTAGCAGATTACTGACTGAGCTGTGGACTGCGCGCGCAATGTACGATTTCCAAGAGCAGTGTCAAACTGTGTTCCGTGCGATCCGTTCCGATCAATTTTTTCGTTCGGTTTTTGTATTAGATATCAGGAGTTTGCAAGGTCTCGGTAAGTTTTAATCGAGGGGACTGGGCCACCAGCTTTTTCAAAAGTCTCCGTTTCTGTATTTCCACTCCGCGATTGTTCGTTGTCATTTAACTGCAAATAACCCACCTCCGAGTTTAACCTGTTTATGAAAGCGAGGTCTGTCAATTGGCAGCCATTCACCATTTTCCTATAGACCATAACTCACCTTGTTTACCTTCCAAAATTTTGCTTAATCATTGTCTTCGATTTCTCTTAGGAACGACTGTATTGGAAACAATGGTTATCCAAAGTTTTGTTTTCTTTTTGGGGGGGAGGGGGGGGGGGGGGAGTATGCACCTTGTTCCCCCCTTTAACCTTTCTCCCCCCCCCCCCCCCCCCCCCCCCACAAAAAAAAAAAAAACTTTAAAAAACCTTTTCAAACAAACAATTCCTCTCCAAAAAAACAAAACAAAAAAAAAAAAAAAAATTGAAAGAAAAAAAAAAAAAAATAAATTAAAGAAGGGAAAAGAGAAGAAGGGACAAAAGGAAGACACCCACTTCAATAAAAAAAATAAAAAACAGGGGGGTGTGTTGTAGTTTGTGACAGTGGTTCGGGGAGAGGGGGTGGGGAGAGAGAGAGGGTAAAGGGGAGAACAAGGTGCATTATGGTCTACGTAAATGGTGAATTGAAATGACAATGAGTTTAAATTTCGAATGAAAAAAATGTCATTTTCATGTGAAAATGCACAAGAAGACAGACTTCTATGGAGAAAAACTTTCACTGGTAGAAGGGTCATCCTCCCAGCCGAGTCAACTTATTAAAGCTAGCGTTTATATGAGAAAAAATTTCACCCTTTCCCGTCCCCAGAGCCACCCGGCTTAATTTGTAACGAACACGTGACCACAAGAAACAGCGCTCGCGCATGCCTTGTCTTGACGGAGTTGATTCTGTTGGACGAGCCAAACTGTGTGCAGAAAAGTGGGCCCCGGCTTGGCTAGAAATGTGACCTTACCAGGGCAAAAGGGTAACCCAGCTTGGTGGGTGACCCTTCGAGTCGAGATAACTTTTTGTCTCTCATGTAAACGGTTCGCCGCGTTTTCTAAGGAAACGTATAAACAGTTGGCTTGCCCATGGTAGCTCGGGTACGAGCTATGGTGTTGTCGTAAATTTACCCAAGATTTTTACCATTATATATTTAAAAAAAAAAGAAAGGACGAAAAAGAATTTGACCAGGGAAACCCTAAAGAGAGAAAAACATCTTCACTCTTCTCTTCTAGAGCGCCGCCGTGTTTTGCATTCCCTTCGAACGAAATGTTGCAAATTCAAGGCTTAATTCGTTTCAAGACGACGTGACCAAAAGAAATGACAGGCTCTCAAGACTAGAATTTGGTAGAGCAGAATGAAAAACTAGACGTGCGTAATCCGAAACTAGGCCTATGCAAGTAACGCAGAAACTTGAAAGGTCCTCAGTTGGTTAACTCGCGCGCTTCAGATGCCTATTAAGAAAGAAAAGGCAGATGCGTGTTTTTACATATAATTTTTACGTGCGCATTTCATTACAAATGTGTTCTTACAGGACTCGTACCCTTTTTGGAACAAAATTAAGGGACTTTCAAGAAACCATTTCCCATTTTTCAAGTACTCCATTCAGTGCAAAAAACAGCCTTGAGTCTGTGTCACTTTTAGTTCTTCCACAACATGAGTAACTTTATCCTGAAGGTCTTTTCTGTGTTTGCTGTTATTCCTTTGGAATTCTACTTACGTTAGCATTGAATCGAAATTCAAGGACTTTCCAGCACCGACTGCAATTTTCAAGAACTTTCAAGGCAATAAAAATTCAAGGACTTTCAAGGTACGCGGCGAACCAGGACGTAGTTTACGGACAGCTTGCTTGTCGGAGGCTACACGAAAATCCTGAAAATAAGACCGAGGGTTTATATTGTTCAAAGGACATTTTTGAGAGAGTTTATATTTGTACTCGACTGGTATCCACTCAGTCTACTTTTACTGTAACAAATAGAATCATGCCTAGTCTTTTTATTTTGTCACTTATTTAATCAAAAATTTTATTTTGACTTCAAACGTCTATACCGAGAGCCCACCAAACACGAAGACCCGATAGAGCGATTATCGTAAGACCTTCAATAAAAATGACTTTCGTGAGTGTGCGTTGTTTATCAGCCAGTAGATGGAAAGATTAAAACATGGACATATCGTTTTCCCGCACAAGAAAACCCAAGGATAGGAAAAAGCATCGTTCGTTTGCCAAGTCGTTTCGCTGAAAAGAAAATGGCGTCAAAGCGAAGTATCGATTGACTTCGACAAAGTTCGATGAACCGACCAAGGGCCACAGGCCTTTGCATTCGCTCAAAAAAAAAAACAATCAATCTGCTCTAATTACGTTCGTTTTTTGTTTAGGTAACGGAAAATTATTTTAAGGTCATATAAAAATCGCTCTAATACGAACATTTAGGTGAGTCAAACCAGTTCCAGAGAAACTCTTTTCTTTTTTTCCCTTGGAGCGAAAGACCCTTGGCGTAGGGTTGTGGCGTGTTCCTTTGGTGTCCGTGAAAACTGGATTCCACCGTAATTACGATCCGGTGAACTCCTAGCGCTAATGAGGGCCTATACTTTTTGTAGATTGATCACTTGAACTTCGTTTAATATAAATGATTTTAATTTCTACCTTGATAAACAGATTTGAATAGATTAATAAACAAATCACGATTTGCATGAGTATTATCTGGGACAAATACACCAACACTGTTTTTTAAAAAAGTATTATTTTGTAATAGTGTTTTTTCTTTTTTAGTCTATTTCGATTTTTGAGAATATAATAGCCCATGTTCCATATATTAGAATTCTAACACGACCCGAGGTTTTAGGGACAAAATTGCAAATTTTACACGACTCCATTGTCGCTCAATTCCCATGCAGACGAGACTTGAGCACAAAGAAAACCAAGCCAAATATAGACCAGAAAGCCTCGGAGTCATGTTAGAGTTGGAACGTAGGTTACTGTTACGTAGATAACATTTACTGTCCAAAAATCATTAAATATTTTTGTTATGATTTTCTGACTTGATAGTTTGTTTGGTCTTTGGTACCAGAAATTTATAACTTCACAGGCAGCCGGCGGCCTCTTTTTACTATACTTAGTGTTAGCTTTTTGCTACACTTTATTTTGCCAATTACACTTCGTTATAGAACTTTTAGAAATAACTTGTGAATGACAAGTCACAGCTTCGTGTCAAACAATTACGTTTCCTAAGCATATATACGTCCCACAAGCATATATATCAAACGTTACGAACAACACAAAAAGAACTCTGAAAAACCGTCAGGTTAACAAGTTTTCAAAAACTACAATTGCACTAAATCCGGTTCAATCTCCTTCAAGATTGTCCACCCGTTCCTGATCGGTCATTTGATCGTTTTGATCGGTCATTTTTATGGTTCATTCACATTGGTGGCGGCTCCTATTGTTAGAATTTTGATAAATTTCGTTACACAGCTCCTTTAATCAAGAATCACTGAATCAGCGCTACTCTAGGCCCATCAAACGAGCACTTGCTGCAGTTATTATCTTATCTAGGTGTTTTAGCGATGTGTAAACTTCATGGAAACTACTTTGGTTAACTATTGTGTTATGTGATCATGTTAAGCGTCTTTTCAATCTTTTGTATGACTGTACCATTGAAACATTATAAGCCCGCCTCTTTTTTTTTAACTTTACCACCCTCCTGGTTAGGTCTGGGCTTACTCTGAACTGTCAATTTCACAACGCACCACGGAAAACTTGACTCCGTGTTCATCCAGGCGGTCAATCAGTGAGGTGCCAGCAAAAGCTGCAGCTGGGGTCAAAACTCCACCACTAAGGTAAAACAAAAAGAATTGTGTTATCAAGGTTAAAAAATCGTCTTGTGATCAGCTGGAATAGTTAGCCGAACAATCACTTTTTGAGCGTACAAAAGAAAGTTATAATTAACGCCAACACCACTACCAACAACAAAAGCAATGAAGCAAACCCGTCATCAAATGTTTTTCTTTTTCGCAACTTTCTCAGTTGCGTAGGTAACTTTCTCCCGTTAGAATTAACAGCTGCTTGTTTAGAGCAAGTTAAACTCTTCTATTAACTTTGCATCGGAAAAGGGAGGAATGGAATTTGTTTCTTTTGGGCTATTATTAAACAGAGTTACAGAGGCATTTTTTACACTTTAAAGTCGTCAATTATAAAGTCTGCCTAACAAAGGCATGACGTTATGGCAGCGGATGAGATATCAAGAAAAACAAATAAAGTACAGATGAGACATTTTGCAGTGTAACTTACGTAGAAACGTCTTACGAAGATTTGACCAGGAAAATTTCCGGTACCAAAAGTATTACCTGTTTGGTAAGGTTTCTTCGAGGATCACCATGGCAGCCTGCACGATGCAGATGGGTGTGGCTATATACCCAGCCTCTAAGGGGAGAAAAAAAAGGGATAAGTGAAAACATGAATAAAACTAGATGCCGATATTACTTTAACAAATATTAAAGGGGATTTGCCTATGCCGAAACACAAATGAAAAATGAAATAATAATGTGATGATAATAATAATAATAATAATAATAATAATAATAATAATAATAATAATAATAATAATAATAATAATAATAATACAATTACTGATGTGATTTTGATCAGCATACATGGTAAACTTTATGACTAATGCTCAGATAACATACTGTAAATTGCCTCTTATAAGCCCTGGGCTTATACATCTTTGTGAGGGGTTTTAGAAGGGCTTATAAACGGAGGGACTCACATCCGAGTGCGATTATAACCGGAATAGAAAAAGCGAAACAAGCTGGAACAGTGCTGATTAAAAATACGTTTGTATTTTGAATTAATAGCTTTTAATTAAGCTTCAAAACCTCATGATAATTTGGAATTCATATCAATACAAGTTAAGGGGGAGAATATATCTGTGAAGGAAGGGGGGGGGGGGGGTTTTGATCGTAAACCTGAATGTGTTTTTTGTTTTTGTTGAGGGGAGGGTGGGAGGGGGGGGGGGGAGGAAAAAGAGGCATTTTCTGCGAAAGAAGGGGGCTTACGGGGGTGGGGGTTTTTTACCATTTAAAAACAAAAAATTCTGTTGAACGTAGTGTTTTCAGGGTTGAGGGGTACGCTCGTATGGGTTGAGGTGTAGTCGGTTGGGATTGAGTTTGATAGGTGTGTGTGTTTGTTTTTGTTTGTGGTGGGGGGGGGGGTGGGGGGGGGGGGAGACATAAGCAGCAGTTTCCGGTAACGAAGGAGTCTTTAAGTGGTGGCGATTTTGCTACATTTAGACACAGACTAGCATTTTTTTCGGTTAGCGCTGTCACGCCATGAAAAATAAAGATGCAAACCGTTCAACACAGAGAGTCTAGAATCAGGGAAATCAAAGAAGACAAATGTACAAAAAGCCTGTCCAAGAATTAGGTCTTTGCAATATTTCAAATGCGAGATATTCGTAAAAACGTTTTACCGAAATTTATAAAGCTTGTATGGAAACGCCATTTTGGTGTCCCTGAATATGGCCGCCGGAAACCAACAGTTTTCAAGTTTTTCTACTCATGGGTGAATTCTTCGCTTAGGGAACTCATAAATATTAAAGTAATATTTATTCTGAAACAAGGAATGTTTAGATAGCAAAATCTTTAAGAGCTTTCCTGGAAGTCTACAAGCCGCGTCTCGCAAAAGCCTGGAAATTCAAACCTCCTCTTTCGCAACACGAAGAACCCTTTCGAACCAAAACTTTGTTTATATAAAGGTGTTTAGGTGCTGTAATAACTCGTGAAAGTAGAAACTCAGAAAAATCGATAATTTCTTAGTTTGATTTTTGATGACACACCAAGAATAAAGTCGGAAACAGAACTCAGAGAATCCAATGGGTCATTTCCGAGTTTCAATTTTTTAACGGTCCCTAGTAACAGTCCCTGAAGTCTTGGGAAAGTAAACTCGGCTCAGTTCCATTCTCGTTTCTATAAAGTGGTGAAAAACGAGAAGAAAACTGGGTCGATTTGTTGTTTACCCTGTCCCCAGTAACAGTCCCCGAAGTCTTTGCGAAATTTAACTCGGCCCAGTTTCCTTCTCGTTTGTAAAGTGGCGAATAGCTTCGCACTTAGCCTCGCCTTGAAATAGAGGCATGTTGGGGCAACTATTGCGGACCGAGTTCCCATTGATTACTGAATGTTTTTTTTGTTCAATGTTTCACAAATCCTATTTCATCAGAGTAATTAAACCATACTCGGAATGGGACAACGTTTTATTTTGAAAATTTGAACTGGTACACGGAGACTGAGGAAGCTTGAAATCAAACGCCCGGAAAGCAGACTTGTAACCCAGCAAAGCACACACAGTGCTCAATCAGGATTTTTAACTCACCGGGTCCTGTAACTTTCGTCACAATTTGACCGTCAGGTTTGGCTGGCAGTTCTCTAAAAGTTGATAAACATATATCTAAGTCAATCAATCAATCAATCCATGAGTAAACAAACTACCGATAATTAAAGTTAGTTTCAGCAATATTATTATTGTTCATTCAAAATATATGACTTCAGTGCATTTTCTTTGCTGTTAACTGTCAAAAAAAAATTAAAAACAAATAACGCAACAACAAATAACGCAAAACGTTAGAGGTTTTCATAACTTGGATGAGCATGATCGTACGGGTGAACGTAGTCCTGAATAGGAGTGTTGTTGAGAGTGACTGACGTGTCATTGGTGCATTTCGATTCGTCTATTTTCACAGTTGAACAGTCATTTATTGTTAGTCAAATTGTCGGTCGTCCAGACATTCTCTCTTAGTTAGTTTTGCTTAAGTCCGTCAATAAGTCTTCTGTATGTTGCCGGTAACTGTTGACTACGATTCAGCGGCGTTTGTTCAAGGTTTTGTTGAGAACTTGAAAATAAGGAGATAATAACTGGTTTGACTTTCTCTATGAACTCCAAAGCCTTCTCTTCCAACTCAAAACTTCAGTAATATCTCAGAAACTTACGACATTCTAGTCGTTCGAAAATGTTCAAAGGAAAAGAGTTGTGTCACAATCAACATTTTCACTGTCATTGTGCACAGGCCAGTATGGTTGTGAACTTCCTAATCACATCACATAAGAACTGTTCAACGAGGGGCTTTCTGACTGATGTTACGTGCTGGTAGCTAGTACTAGAGTAGCCACACGAGCGTTGATCTATAAAACAAATTGCTATATTCCTAGACTTTCACTCAGCTAAACACGGACTGCCATTGGTTGATTCTTGGTCACATGGCCTTGACTAAAATCAAATGTATCCCGATCGTGATACATTTGAGCAATTGTATCCCGCTCGGGATACATTACAGCACGTGATCAGTGGCGTGACAGAAGGCGGGAAAAACACTGCCGGTTTTCACTTTCGTAAATGAACACAACAACACAAACATGAAGCATCGAGCTAAACGCAACGATTTTCAAAGTTATCCTAGAAGAGAAACAGCAGCTAGTGGAGGAAAACGATGCAGATGATAATTATAAGGAAAGTACTCTGTAAGTCATTCATTCAGTGGTTTTAAGAATTAAATTTGTGTTCTTATAAGTACCGAGTCGACTGCTTTAATTCCCTGCGGTTATTCTTTAGTTGCTGTTGAAGTGAAAGTCTAGAAATATAACAAAACACTTTATGTCAGGTGCCTTGGGAAACCAGTTAGTTTTGTTTTCCCTCTAGTCCTGATGTTTCCCTCGACTTCGTCTCGGAAAACATGAGGACTCTCGGGAAAACAAAACCGACTGTTTCCCTCGGGATCTGACATTGAGTGTATAATGAGCTCAGGAGGTCACTTTGGTCTCATAATTTTATGACTAAGCATACAAGGCAATATTACCCTGATTGCACAGCAGCTTCACTGAATCCAGCTCCATGGAAGATGAAAGAAAATGAAGACTCTGCCATCTGAAAAAGGAAATGCATAACACCAAACACAATGTGATGAAAAGGACTGAAGAAATCGATTCTGATGCTACACTTTGCTAATTGCAAAACTGCTGCAAAACAAAAATAATATAGTACATTAAAGATTACCTGTTCCCTAGTTGGCCCTTCATGTGAAAAGAAACCAGCTGTAAAGAACTTGGGGTACTGTTGAAATCAATTGAAAATAAGTCATAAGTCAGCATTAACTTTCAGCAAAGGGGTTACAACAAGGTCAGTATATTTGCTATCTTTTTGAAAAGCGAAAAGGAAATGTCTTTGCACCAATTGAATTCCAAAAGGAATGGCCCAGTTTTGCCATTTAAGACTAAAGTAGTGTTTGACATTCAAACTGTTCCCTGTTGTTTGTTGCTATAAATGGCAAAGATGGACTTGGATTGAAAATGGAAAAAAAATTAGGTCAACTTTTTCAATTTTTAATGCTATGCCTGAAATGAATGGCCAAAACATCACTGGTTAGTGCTACCTGGTGAAATTTGTTTGATATATTCTTTATTACTTGTGTACAAGTAAAAGCGCTTAGTACCAGAATTGACCTAAACGATAATATCCTCGCCACGTATATGTAGCCCCTTTTAAAAAAATGAAAACCACTATTGTGTCTCTTCCTATCATACACGTACCTTTTCTAACAGCTGTCTTCCCTTCTTGAACTGGCAGAGCAGCAAAAAGAAAAAGCCAAAGAACATCATCACCAGGATTACAAACACTGAAGACATGGCGGTATATGCACCGTACTGAACTGGCTTTTTATTTCTCACTTCAACATTGTGGCGTTGTGTTCTGCGTACCACTGAAGGGTCAGCTCCCATAAAAGGAATGCACCATTTCTGAACTTCTGGGCTGTAGGAGATAAACCTCCTAAAAAAGAAAAAACACATGTGTATCAATAACTACATAATTGTCCGTTTTCCAGTCATTCTATGATATCGTTCATTGCCATCGGTTTTGCTTGAGTTCGTCAATAAGTCGTTTGTAAGGGGTCAATAACTGTTGACTACGATTCAGCGGCGTTTGTTTTAAGTTACTAAACCAGCTTTCTAAAATAAGTCGTTGGTAGTAGTCTGTAGAATGCGTAGTACATGTCGCAGAATCCCAGTCGATTTGATGTTTCGTCTGTAAATGGTGTTCAGCATTTTTTCAAGTCACCATTTCTTGTCGATCGTTTGCGTTTAAAAAGTCGCGTGCTAAGGTTTCTGCCGGCCTGGGTCTCAAGAGAAAAGAAGAAAAGAAGAGAAAAGAAAAGAAGATCAAGCAAGAAAAGAATCAAAACAAAACAAAGATTAAAGTATACAAGCAAAGAGAACAATAAAAAGGCTAACCGTCTGGGAAGCTTTGGTCCAAATTTTGGCATTGGTTTTGAAAACAACTGAGCACGAAGCTTTTTGAGATTTCCTCCCCTTTCGCTTGCTACGCCATGTATGGCTGACTGGTATGTCCCAAAGTGACCTCCTCCACCCTTAAGAGAAGAGATATGAGACTATTAGGCATCTGAGGCTGTATAAACTACATTTTAACAATAACTGAGCGATTTGTCTCATGCTGGTTGGTCGTGAGCTTTGATCGATGTAGAGCATAGACCATGGAAATGACGTGATAGTGGCGCAATTAATTCGTTTTTCACTTTCTTAGCATCAGATTTATCGAGTCTGTTTGCCAACAATTTCCGACCCTCTCGGTCATGTTAACATCTAACGTCCGGTTACACTAAAAGCGCCTTGTACCGATTTCCGGTTCCGGTAGCGATCTGACTCGGTCCGTCTGCGCGTGAAGTCCATAAGACTCTGTTCGGGTTTCAATTGGACATGTGTGACGGAAATGGACTTTACAATTAACCACTGACAATGTTTTTGCAGTTAATCCACCATTTGAGGTTTAAACACTGACAACATTTCTGTGGTCAATGAGAGTATACAATGTGCTAATAGGTCAGTGCGTCTGAAATATGTTGGACTTCTCCTGCATAGTCTTTCCTCACTGGGAATTCACAGGGAATTTACAATACCTTCGGACCCATGTGTACTTGCAAGAAGCTCTCTATGTGACAAAGTTCACCTAAAAAATAATTTTAGTAAAATCACATAAACTTTGGTAAAGTTGAAGAACAGTTCCCACCAAAATCTGTTAGGCGACTGTTGGTAAACACTTGACCAACAATTTACTGAAAGACGACCAACAGCTCACTGACAGCTTCTGTAAAGAAATAGACTGTTCACAGTCCCATATTTTTTTGTAAGTTCGTCAGGATTGAGCGTTTACTAGTATGGGCGGCCATCTTGGTTTCCTATGAACAGTGTATGCCAAGGGGGCGAGCATCAGGGTTTATAGCGCTGGGGGCAGAGAAGCAAAAACAGGCACCTCCTCACAAACCATCCCCACTCCGCTAAGTAGATTTGACACTCATCCCCATGTAGTCTCGGAACATGTGATACCAAGATGGCCGCCCTTAATGCAACGTGCTTGATCTTGACAATCTTACGGAAAGAGAGGGGGCGGTGAGCAGTCTACTAAAGAAAGGATAAGTAAACAATGCTATATTATTGTTTATAAATATTTGACATGATGATTAGCCTCGAAGATAAAAAGAACATTGAACAGATATTCTCAGAAGTAACAATACAACAACTAGATTTGTCTGAAAAATATTTTGATATGTTGTGCACCATTATGACAAAGTATGTACAATTCTACAGTGTATACATAAGTTTTACTTCAATGACATATTTCGTCTAAGCTTGGTTTAATTAATTTCCCTTTTTGAAAATAAAAAATATCCTTCTAGAAGCCAGTCCCAGACTGCAAGAAATCTCAGAATGTATGTCTAACAATGCATTTTCACTTGACTTGTTTTAAAATCAGTTTACTATCAGAGAGAATGGCGCTTGGACTACAACTGAAAATGAACATTATATGTCCCTTGATATCAAAAGCAAAGTTATGGTTTCCATAATTAAGCAGTACAATTAGACTAACATGTACTGTATTCACATACTGATACAAACTGTACTTTACCTGGAAACTTATCCTGTGCAAAGACCACACCCATATCTACAGGAATACTGTCAAATCCACAAGTGCCAACAACGTGGATTCCTTTACTCACGGCATCATCATGATACTTGAACTGCATTCTTTCCAAATACTAAAATTACCGAGTCAAATGTCATGCATTTAGCAGTAATGTCCTTTTCAAAAAAAGTTTCAGAGTTATTATCCATGGCAAGATCTTGTCAGTTGAAGATTAGCACCAGACTAGCTGGCTAGACTTTACTGATCAGTGCTACAAGTGCTCGCAAGGTGAGCTTTTGCGAAAAAGTAATTGAGAAAACCTTACTTTGCACTGCATTTTTCCAAGTGTTACAAGTACTGTTAACCCTGGGCCAGCCACATTATTTAGTGTACGTAACTCAAACAGGGAGTCTCTTTGACTCCAGCTTAGATCCCAGAAATGTTTCAAGGAATGTTATATTCTGCCAGCCAAATTCCTAACGATAACGAATTGAAGATATATATATACCATAAAACTCCCAAAAATAGCCTCGGGGCTTACATTTTTCAAAAGGCCCTTTTTGAGGCGCTTATTTTTGGAGGGGCGTATGTATGGAGGGCAATTTGCGTTTCAAAATCGATTGGGCTAGCCTTATTCTTGGAAGGAAATTTACCGTTTCTCTTTGTTTTGCTTTGTATTTGATGGCAATTTCCAAGTATATCTGGAGGGGCGATTTAACGGAGGGATTTTTGCGTTACGAGTTTGGGCTGGGGGGGGGGGCTTATATTTGGAGGCGCTTATACATGGATGGGTTTAATTTTGTGATTTTTCGGTGTTTCTGTACTTATGAATCTAATTCATGAAATCTGATCACCTCTGGCTCTCCACTGACATCCAAATGATGGCACCCATTCTCAACAGCTGCCTTCACAACTTGTTCTCCAAAAAACCGGTACTGATGGACAAAATAACACATAGTTTGACTTGTGGTTTATAAAGGAACATAACACAGTCATATAATTTAAACATGATTGTGTAAATTACAAATTATAGTTGCAAGCGTGCATGGTAAGTGATGTGACATTGTTATAAAATAAATTGTTCAAACTTTTCTGTCACTTTCAGGGATGTAGTGTTTTGAACTGGGGTAACTGAAAGGGGCACCATTTGTTACTAAAAGGTGTGGTATCCCGCGTAACTTCGCACGCATTCTGTACCAATATCATGCGATGTTTACCATTAAAAACAGTTCCAGCCATCATGGCGGTGTGTATGTAGTACTCGTAGTGGATATCACATTGGCGACCAGAAACGAGAAAGACGAATACATGCTGAAAGAAGAGAAAAATAAAAAGAAGATCAAAGAAAAACAAAAGAAGAAGATAAGAGAAAGCCAATGGAGAGAATACTAGCGAAATTAGAAGCGAAAAAGAAAGAAGAAATTATCAAGATCACCGGACATCGACGACCTCATGTTAGAAAGCAGCACAAGCAACCCATCAGAAATTCGAGTCTCAACTTTCGGAAAATCACTTAGAATAAACTTGTTCAAGATTCCAGACGGACCATTCCAGACAACCCCTTAGAGACTGGCTGAGCGTGGCAGGAATGGCTCGAAGACTTGAAGAAGAAACAGAATATTTTGAAATCAAAGCCGTGAAAGACAAAGCAGGTACGCTCAAAATCTATAGCAGACAAGAAATCAAGAAACTTGCCCGAAACCTTCCATACACCACACCTGTTGAAGAAGACGACGATGACTATAAGAAATAAACCCGGAAACTCATCAACCACTTCTTACCAAAGAAAAACAAACAGCATGTGAGATACACATGTAAGAAACAATGACAAAAACTCGGAGAAAGTATCATAAACTACACAGCGCGGCTACGCAAGAAGGCGAAAGATTGTGAATTCCGCGACCAGACTGACAATAGGATCCTCGAACAGCTGATACAAACCATGAAGGATAACGGCTTTATCAAGAAAAGCATACAGAATAGGTAGACTCTTGACCTATTCCTCGAAGAAGCCAGCCAAACAGAAGACATTAATCAGCAAGTAAAAGACATAAAAGAAGATTACAAAATCTCCACGGTGAAACATCAGTGGGAAAAATCTCAGAGAAGTGCTAGAGGAGGTGCACAAAGATACCCAAGCCTGCCAAACAAAAAAACCCCACCGCAAGAAAACCGCAAGCAAGAACACAAGAAAGAGAAAGAAGCTCCAAAAGTAGCTGCCAATACCGTGGAAAAAACAGGATTCCAGCCCCTGGACGCAAGTGCCCAGCTTATGGACAGCAACGCCTGAAGTGTGGTAAAGGCAATCAGGACACGTCTGACATCTAGCAAAGAAACTGAGATCGAGGAGAACTCAGGACACTGTTCTTATCAGAATAGGAGATGTTGACGCGCACGTAGAATCCAACAGCGGGGCAAGTGTAAACATGACGGACGAGTACCAACACAGGGCCCTAAAATACAGATCAAAGGAAATCAGAGAACTAGATCCAAGCAAAGACACATTGAAGACTCTCCAATCTGATCTGGTAGTTAAAAGGTGAATTTCATACAACTATTCGAAACAGTAATCAAGGAGCACAAAGCAAGTTATGAGTGATCGAGAGAAAAATGGACCCTCCTCCACTCTTAAGCAGGAATACACTTATTGCACTGGGAATGATCAAGATTGATCCCGACGAAACACTTAAAGAAACCAATGAGCTTTAATGGAATCAAGTCAGTGAAGCCACCAGATGACATTGAAGCGTTACTCAGTGATTACAAACATTATGATACATCTCAAGGGATTGGATGCTTACAAGACAATAGAACAGGCAAAGAGATAGAAGTCAAGCTAGAGATGGATCCAAAAGCCATTCCAGTAGCCCAGAAACCACACCCAGTCACATGTCATCTGCAAAAACCTCTCAAAGAATGGCTTGAGCAGGGAGTAAAAGAAAACACAATTGAGAAAGTCCCAGATGGAGAAACCATAGCATGGTACTCACCCCAAGTTGTGCTGCTTAAACCCAAGTATGATGATATTAAGACTGAAGAATTAGATTCTCAGATGATCAGAGCAAGCACTGACATGCGAGTACCCAATGAAGCCATGAAACGAAGTAGATTTGTCCACTCACCAAGATTTAAAGATTTTATCTAATCCTTGCATGACTGCAAGATCTTCAGGAAATTGGACTTGAGACAAATCTATCACCAACTGACACTAAACCATGCCACAAGACAGGTAGCAACATTCAGCACACCCTGAAGAAATTACAGACCAAAAACACTAGTATTTCGAGCTACATCTTCACAAGATGTTTTCAATGAAGCAATGTTCAGAGCCTTTGGTGACATACCCCACTGCCTGAACTAAAAAGATGATAATTTATACTCCTTGGAGGAAGAGGTGACGGTGTTCAGTACCTTTATGTGTTCTGATTCCTCCAGTGAGAAAGAGATCTGGAGTAACAAAGAGAAATGCCAGTTCGAGAATGAGCAGAATGAGTTCTATGAACATGCCTTCATTAAGGACTGACTGAAACCGTCACCAGACAAAGTGAAAACAATCAAGGAATGTGGCCCTCCAGAAAGCAAAGAAGCCATCTGGAGTTTTCTCCAAATGGCAGGCTACTTGGAGAACTACATAAGCAACTATGTGGCCATAGCAGCACCACTTTATCAGCTAACCCGGAAAGATGCAAAATTCAAATGGGAGAAAGAAGAAGAAAAAGCATTCAGGAAGATACAAGACAGCATCTCAAGCGACAAAAACAATGGCATTCTTTGACCCATCCAGACCCATAATTCTGCGTACAGAAGCAAGCTACAACCCAGGCTTATCAGCAGTCCTACTGCAAAAGACTGACAAGGGTATACAGCCAGTGCAATTCATCAGTCACACCATGACAGAAATGGGAAAAAGATATAGCCAGACCAAAAAAGATGTACTAGCCATTAAGTGTGCAAAAGAATGACTGTGAGTTTACCTGCTTGGAGCCCCCAGATTCTGTATTATCACAGCACACAAACCACTGTTACCCTTATTCACTAAAACAAAAGCCGCAATGCCACCCAGAATCGAAAAAATATAATTAATGGGCTATGGAAACGCAGGACGTTGACTATGAGCTAGTGTACCAGCCTGGAAAAGATGAAGCAGACCCCCTAGACTACCTATCCAGGTACCCACTACCTGAAATAGGAGATGACAGCACTGAAAAGATCATCAGATAGACTGTGAAAACAAAACATGCTGTAGTATTCACAAGACAGAACAGATTGCACACCTGCAAGGAAAAGACCGCCTAGAGAGAAAGAATGCCATACAGGACATGCTGACTGCATACAGATCAACCCAGTGTTCTCCTTATCAGACGGTAACCGGTAAAATTTACTGCTTGAAGTAACACTTCTTACTGCCTGAACCTTTTGAAGTGTTACTCAAATTAAATAAATTGTCTCAAAAAATATGCAAGTTGTGATCCAAGCCGATCCCCGCGAAAAAAGGAAGTAAATACAGAAAAACAAAAAGTATGCAGAGCTATTCTCCCTAATTACTTTATTAGGTGCTGACTGGCACCTTTCAAAGCACTGCAGGCTAGCAATTTTTTTGTGGGCTACTGTCCCAATTCCAAGCTTTTTCCACCAGCACGAAAAGTTTGCGGCTTCCGCGACTTGTGTTACTAAATTGACCCTAGCGGCAAAGGCAGCCTTCATTCGTAAAATTCTTTGTTTTGAGGTGTTTAAAATACTTTTCAGTCAACTGGTTGACAGGATGCTCGAAAATAAAAGCCTTCATGAACACAAAGCCCCTCCCCTGGCAGGAGAGTGCGCCTCTGACACATATTTTTGGCCTTATCGGTCAAGAATGGTCCCTTACCTGCTAAGCTAAAATTTAGGGAGAACACCGTCAACCCCAAATCCAGCCACGGGGATCACCCCTTATGAAGCATGAGAGGAGCAACCGTAAGGACTAAGTTAGATCGCATTCAGCCAAGGGTGCAGAGATCTGACAAGGATTACATCATAGATGAGAGAGATGCAGTGTACAAACAGGAAATGAAAGAGGACAGAGAAGGCAGAAACAACAACGACTGCCTGACACCATCACCAGACAAGGTGAAAGCAATCAAGGAATGTAGCCCTCCAGAAAGCAAAGAAGACATCTCGAGAAACACGGGACAAGGAAGACTTCTGCTAGTTGACTACATGTTGGTCAAGCAAGAGAAAAGAAACAAATGGAGCATGCCATGCAAACCGGAATTCTACACCGTAGACAAGATAAATGGATCCAGAATCACAGCTAGATGAGCTACTGAAGAGAGAACAATCTGCAGAGATATCTTCAAACTTGTAAACACAGTCATCAACTCCACAGATGACCGAGGGATCACTAAAGCAGGAGAATCAAACACAACAGCTGACCCAGACCTGAAGAAGTTTACTTCACTTACAACATATGTTGAGAAACCATCAATCCCAGCAATGGGAGAGGAGAACAAGAGGAAAGAACAGTCAGAGGAGCAGAACCAAGAGCAAACAGAGACAGGAAGTGACCAGATACAATCAAGTGAAAGACAGACCGAAACAGACCCAGAATCATGCAGACCTCAGAGAACCAGAAGGAGACCCTCCTACTTAAAAGACTAAGTGCTAACCTAACAAAAGATTTTGCCTTAAAGCACAGATTAGAAACCTTATATTGTTGTTGTTATTTCCGACTATGCTTGAGTAACTTCGTAACGTTGGGGAGGGATGTGGTATCCGGTGTAACTTCGCACACATTCTGTACCTATATCAAAGATGTTCACTATTAAAAACAGTTCCAACCACCATGGTGGTGTATGCTTAGTTGACAAAAGGTATATGAAAAGAGCACCTTTTCTGTGAAAAATGATTAATACAAAAGGTTAAGGGGTAATTAAACCTTCCGGCACAGAGTCCTTGTATAAAACTTTGTTAAGTACCCCCTTGGGGTAAGGTTTGTCCCATCATGATACATATAACTTAATATTAAATAAAAAAATAAATAAAAAACCAAGAAACAAACAAATTTACAATGTAAATAACTCAAAGAATGATGTAACTTTTGCAGTTGCGAAAAGAAAGCCTTTAAAAATTCAGGCTTGTATGGGATTCCAACCCTTGACCTCTGCCATACTGGTGCAGTGCTCTTACCAATTGAGCTAACAAGCCAACTACACTTCGTATTAAACCCGTGAAAGGATGATGATGAAGTTATGAATATATATATATGAAATCATACATGAGAACTGCGCAGTGAAGAATTTTATGGAAGAAGATCATCACAGTTATAGACGCATTTTCTTTAAACCGTATGATCTTCTTTATATATAATTCTTCACCCCGCAGTTCTCATGTATAATTTTCATACATTCATAACAAAAAAAAATATGGGTAACAATATTATTAATAATAAATTATTAAGGTGCAAACTACATTGTACATGTATTAAATAAGAAAATACGCACTGGTCCAACACAATTCAAAATAATATTGGCTGAGGAACACATTGCATTGAGCGTTGTTTCGTCACTGACATCGGCAATTATAACACGAACATCCTTTGTATCATAGCCTGGAAATTATGAAGAAGAAGAGTATGTTTTGGTCAGTAGCGTGAAATTTAAATGAGTATATGAACCATTTCTTTCATAATTTTTTAATTTCTTCAGGTTTTAAACTTTACAAATAACGTCCCTAAAATAAAATTGTTCACAATGACTAGCTTGGTTTTGCAAAGTGCTGTCATCCAAACGTATTTAGACTGTTCACAGTCCACGACTTGAAAAAAGTCATGTTCAGTAGTTCAGGACAAGTAGACTTTCTTGCTGGACAAGTAACCTTTAAAGCTTACTAAATGGGAAGGGGTCTAAACTAAAATCATCAACTAAGCTGAGCAAGATGTAAAATATCAATCAGCAAAATGTAACAGCTGCCTAGACAAGCTGGAATTCAAGTTTTCTTTTTTTTTTTTTTGGCCCTGCAATCCCTTCATTCGTGTAAGATCATTGAGATTGAGTTCTTGCTGTGATGGACAGCTGACTGAGGAGGAGAATGCCACGGTTTGTGCAAGCATAGGGAGAATGAAGTGAGAAAAATAGGCATCCCTACTTTCTTACCTCCTTCCAATTGCTTCCACCCCCCCCCCCCCCCCCCCCCCCCCCCTTTTTTTTTCCTTTTTTTTCTTCCACACCTATTTTTTAAACACCAAAAACAACTATTTAAATAAAAAAAATAAAAAAAAGGGGGAGAGAAATATTATTTTTATTACAACATCTGACAGTATTTCCACCATCAATCCTACTAAAAATATATTTTTNTTTTTGAAAAAATGCGAAATTTTTAGGCATGGACCAAATTACCTCCAAAAACTGTATCAAAAACAGCTGAATGCAAGTTAATAAAATTCTTCTTACTCGCGATCGCCCAGAGCAATTCCCCTCTTTTTTTGTATGCAGTTTTCAATGGAATCAAACCACTATGAGATAAAGCTGCGATTCCAAAGCTTATCATTTTCTTAAAATATTAGCGAATTTTGCGGCTAGCATGCTATTTCACTGCTTTGATGGTTCTTAAAAATGCATTTCAAAATATTTCGAAAACGCTCTCATAGAATTTCTTCAAACTTTGCAATAATGGAGGCAATTATGACAGGTACATACTCCCTTAAGCGATTTCTTCAAAAAACTCCTGGTACAGAGAAACACAAAGATAAATGAAAAACGTAATGGTGTCATTACGTTGCCATGGTGACCCCGATCGCAATAAAAAACAGATCATAAGAAATTTTCATCTTTATATAATACAGTTGTGGTAACCTTTTTTCCATATCTTTACTCATGCCGACGTAGTTAATGCTCAAACTTGGGAGGTATCAACCCCAAAAAATCCAGTCGAGCCACCTTAATGCTCCTTATGATCCTACATGTACATTTGAAACCATGTATGACCAATCTTGATGAACATATGGAATAACAGGGGACTGTAAGTATTATGCTATTAACCCAGGACTGCAAGTTATCTCTCACAAATTGTCCAGTAACAATTTTCTTCAGTGGGAGTGGCCCTTCCCTCTCACTCCCTGCTGGTCCCACTTGCACCCTATTAGTACTAACCTATTAGTCTTTGGTAAGGGCGGGACCATAAAGGTGGATTTATATACACACTTCATATTGCACTCAAAACATGATACAGGATAAAAATTCTTAAAAGTCACGTGCATTTTGTGGTTTATAAATAGATATGATCATGCTATTAACACAGTACACATGGTAAAGTGTGAAAAATTATTGATTTACTTTATTAAGAAGAATACCATTTTTAAAAAAACATTGCATCGCCTCCATAAATTTACTCAGCTCTTCTAAATCAAGTACGTTAAATACAAAATCAAGAAAAACTACTCCAAGGCTTAGAAGAGCCAACACCTTGAAGTACTGAGCTCGAAGTCCACAGTTATAAAAAGACAGTCTTACCAAGTTCGCTAGCAGTTTCCTCCAAAACTTTCTCGAGTTTGTCCTTGCTGCGACCAGCAACAGCCCATTTAAACTTCCCTTTGCAGTTCTTTGCCACCTCACGTACCACATATTGGCCAGTGAAGCCACTTGCCCCGAACACAACGATTGCAAACTCCCTGTCAGACATGTTGTTGCTCTCTCTACACTGAACTTTGTTCGTCGTGCAGCGAATCATCATCGAAGTGGAAAAGACTGGGAACTAACGGGTGATCACACTGCAGATCGCTGAGGAGCATGGGACGTTGTTTTCAAGATGGCGAACAACGCGCCGGGCTTTCATTAAAGTCTTGCTGAAAACAAAAGTTAGAATAGTTGAGGTGATTCTGTACAAGTTTTTAAAGTTTCTAAATAATTTGAAATCCTTATAAGATCATGGGAAAGAAACACAAAAGCAAGAAACATCACAAGAAGGGCACTGATATCGCTGAAGGTAACAGAAGTAGTGTTTGCAGGCTTTTGTGATCGCGTGATTGTTCTCCTCTGTCTAAAATTAATTATCCGACATAAATTATTTTGAGTAATAAATTGAGTGATTCTCCTGTCCGCAGACATACCTGGGAGATCCGAGAAAGCCGAGAAAGGGGAGAAGCCAATTAAACTTGTGCTTAAAGTTGGAAGTAGTCAAGAGAAAGTTTCTGCTAAATCGGACGCTCCAAGTTCGACAAGCAGGCCTGCAGTAAACGTTGACAAAACGAAGTCTAAAGATCATTCTTCGAAAAAGAAAAAGAAGAAGAGATCGGCATCCAGAGAAAGAAAGAAACCCAAGTTTGATCCCGGATCTAGCGTGAGTAGACCGAAGTAATGTCTTCATGATCGCATGTTAATTCATTGTTTGGGCTTTCATTAAATACTTTTAGCACAGGTAAACCACCCTCGGTTCTTGTGGCCGATGTTGTTAATCTGATCATTGATCTTTTTTGTTCCATAAGACAGAGAGGGCTGGTCCCATTAATGTTGTCCATCTTAAAGTGAGTTGCATGAGTGTAGGGTGTCATTTTGATCTCTCAGTGCCAGTCTTTTGAAAAACAGAGTAAACATTTTACAGCGTTACACCCCTACTTGACCTTCTGTTATTAGTACCTTCCCTCCTCCTCCCTTTTCCCTGCTGGGTTAAGCACTCTTCTCATGCCCCAAACCAATTCTTAGTGGTTTTGTCTTGCATTACGAAGCTCTAAGAACATCTGTGTGGGAGGCTGACAAAAAAGAAAACAATCAAACTAAAGATTTTGTTTTTATTTTGATGTGTATGATTTTAGGCTTGTGCTTCACCATCGTCTGTTAGCAGCCATGAAAAATCCAAGAAAAAAAGAGACCGGCATGAATTTGAAGCAGAAAGTAACAGCATGGCTGACACTGAAAGACCAATCAAGAAAATTTACATCAAGCCTATAGAGCCTCCAGTCAGGTAAAATAAAGTCCTTGAGTTAA